AAAAAATCTGGAGACAACAGATGCTCGAGAGGATGTGGAGAAATAGGAACACTTTTACACTGTTGGTGGGAGTGTAAATTAGTTCAACGATTGTGGAAGACAGTGTGGCGATTCCTCAAGGACCTAGAAATAGAAATTCCATTTGACTCAGCAATCCCATTACTGGGTATATATCCAAAGGATTATAAATCATTCTACTGTAAGGACACATGCACACGAATGTTCATTGTAGCATAGTTTACAATAGTAGAGACCTGGAGCCAACCCAAATACCCATCGATGATAGACTGGATAGGGAAAATGTGGCACATATACACCATGGAATATTATGCAGCCATCAAAAACGATGAGTTCATGTCCTTTGTAGGGAGGATGAACATGGATGAACCTGAAAACCATTATTCTCAGCAAACTGACACAAGAACAGAACATCAAACACCGTATGTTCTCACTCATAGTTCGGTGTTGAACAATGAGAATACATGGACATAGGGAGGGGAGCACTACACACTGGGGTCTGCTGAGGGGAAATAGGGGAGGGACAGCAGGGGGTGGGGAGTTGGGGAGTGATAGCTTGAGGAGAAATGCCAGATATAGGTGAAGGGGAGCAAGGCAGCAAATCACACTGCCACGTGTGTACCTATGCAACAATCTTTCATGTTCTTCATGTGTACCCCAAAACCTAAAATGCAATAAAAAAATAAAATAAAAATAAAATAAAATCAGAAACTCTCCAGGTGATTCTGGAATATGCTGTAGTTTGAGAATTAATACTAGGGTCAACCGGTGCCAGGGAAGCTATCTGGGAGGTGGTATGAAGTCAACTCTCCTGATTGTCTTTGGAGTACCACCCAACAATGTCGGCTTGTGTGGCATTTGTTGACATTCAGCAAAAATGAAGTCTATCTCAGCTCCCAGGTTTTGCATATTTCCCTAAACTGCCTTTTTCCACATGGAAAACTCCACTTTCCAATAGATTTGGATACTTGGAAAACCCCTTCAACAGAGAGTAGAATCCTAGATGTCTACAAGGTTGATGAAGATGAGCCAGGGAGAAATGAGTTTGTGAAGAAGTCAGATGAAGAGTCCCCATAAAGGCAGGGCACACATGGGACATGGGGCTTTTGTTACACTGGCATATTAGCACACTCCTGATGTAAAGATCCACACACTTCAAGGATTAGATTTAAAAAGACATTTCACTGGTCAAATAAATTAGGCAACTGTGAAGAGTTAAAAAATGTGGCACACAGACATTCACCATACCAGTATAAATGTAAGACATAATGTTATATGCAAAAAAAACCCTATATGTGATATATACAAATACTATAAAGATATATGCATGTATGTTTAAATATTAGTGAAAAATCAGACAAACCATTCTTGATGACTTCTAGAGAAAAAGAGTATGATAGGAAAATGGAGAGGGTAGTTTAAGCTCTGGCTTGATAACCTTCTCTAACTGCCTTTTTTTCCCCAAAAACATTACTATTATAATACATATTTTTAAAGAAATTAAGAAGTCAAAAATGAAATTAAATACAAATCATTTTTGTGACTAACATGTGTCTCTCAAACATTTACAGCTGTTTATTAATTTCAATTGATTCATCAAGTTGAATATCTATCTTGGGAAAAATAGTTTTGTTACGTTCTATATCTTGCTGCAAGGTGTCATGGCTCATCACATAAATTTCAGAATAGACCATATAATTTGAAAAGGGAATCTATCAAAACTTTTTCTGTGTCTCTGTACTCAATACTAATATTTTCTTTTCTAATACATTAATCTTCTCAAATTAATCAGCTACTCCTGAGATATCTACAAAAATAAGTTTTTTTTTGTAAAGGGGAGAAGGCCTAGACAAAACCAGGTGGTACTGAATTAGAGTTGAAAATATCATATGAACTCATATTTAGCTTAATATAGATACAGATAGATATATTTATATACATGGGATAGTATACATACCTATATCTTCTAGCTCTGTCTTCTGAAAAAGCCTAGAACTAATAATGTGCTACTAGCAACTAGTATACCCAGCATCAGATCATGATTTATCATAACATTCTCCAATAAAATGAACCATGGCTCCTTGGAAAAGTGGCTGGTGCTAGAACTAAGTATAACAAGGAAATATACAAGACAGACCTGGAATAACTTGCAGTGTGACAAAAGGATGAGGGTGTGTCAAAGAGACACAGAAGCCAAACACTGATCTCAAGTTCTGGAAGAACTCATGATGGCCAAAGATAGAACAATTTCAATGTGGGCCACCTTTACTGACTTGTTTCCCAAGAGTAAATATGGAAAGGGGGAAAATGTAACTTTACATTAGAGAAACTGGTAAACGCTACCTCAGCCAGATGGTCAAGGTTAACATCAGAGATAAGTCATGTTGACTGTATATACCCTTGATATATGAGAAAAATAGTATGCTACCTCTGTGTTCTTCCTCCCCAAAATCCATCACCCTTGTAAAACCTTGACAAAAATCTCAGATAAACTAAACTGAGGGACAGTCTACAAACAATCAGATAAAGTCTCCTCAAAACGATCAAGAATAGTCTTAGAAGCTTACAGCCAAGAAGAGCCTGAGGAAACTTGGCAACTAAACATAACGAGCTGTCCTGAAGCAGCAACTACCATGACCTTGAGACAGGAATAAGCTCAGCATGTCTAAGCAGCAGAAAGGCCCATGAAGCCAGCCTCCTGGGAGCAGGCAGGGAACTAAATGGTCAAGAAGGGGTTAGGGAAGCAGGGCACAGTGAGTCATGCTTGCAGTCCCAGTACTTAGGGGGCCAAGGTGAGAGGATTGCTTGAGCCCAAGTGTATAAGACCAGTCTGCACAACATAGCAAGACCCCATGTCTAAAAAAAAAAAAAAAAAAAAAAAAAAAATTAGGGGGGCATGGTTGCTTGGTTCTTTAGTCCCAGCTGCTCAGAAGGCTGAGGTGGAAGGTTAAGGCTAGACTGAGCTATGATCATGCCACTGCACTCCAGTCTGTGACAGAGAGAGACCCGTTCCCAAAATAAGATGGGGTCGGGGAGACAGAGTGCTTCCTGACCCTCGGCACATTAGAATCATTTGGGAAGCTTTTCAGAAATACCAGTGCCCAGAACCTACCCACAAGGGATTGCTTTAACTAGTCTGAATCAAAAACAAATTACAGTTACACACAGCCACATGGCTTAATCTACACAAGTTGTTGAGGATAAAGATGCAAGAATATAAACTGCAATTCTGTTACATAATCAAAATCAAGAAAAAACAAATGATATACTACTTAAGGGATACATACATGTTAAAATTCCCCAAAAACAAAGGTATTATGAATACATTACTTAAGAAATTTAGCATAGTATTTTTTTTCTCTTTTGATTTTTTTAAAAATTTAAGTTCTGGGATACATGTGCAGAATGTGCAGGTTTGTTACATAGGTATATATGTGTCATGGTGATTTGCTGCACCTATCAACCAGTCATCTAGGTTTTAAGCCCAACCTCCCTTAGGTATTTGTCCTAATGTGCTCTCTCCCCTTTTCCCCTACCTGCTGTGTTGTTCCCTTTCCTGTGTCCTGATATGTGATGTTCCTCTCCCTATGTCCATATATTCTCACTGTTCAGCTCACACTTATGAGTGAGAACATGTGGTGTTTGGTTTTTCTGTTCCTGTGTTTGTTGGCTGAGAATGATGTCTTCCAGCTTCCCATGTCTCTGCAAAGGACATGAACTCAACCTTTTTTTATGGCTTCAGAGTATTCCACGGTGTATATGTGCCACATTTTCTCTGTCCAATCTATCGTTGATGGGCATTTGGGTTGGTTCCAAATCTTTGCTATTGTAAATAGTGCTTCAATAAACATATGTGTGCATGTGTCTTTATAGTAGAATGATTTATAATCCTTTGGGTATATACCCAGTAATGGGATTGCTGAGTCAAATTATATTTCTGATTCTAGGTCCTTGAGGAATCACCACACTGTCTTCCACAATGTTTGAACTAATTTACATTCCCGCCAACAGTGTAAAAGCATTCCTATGTCTCCACAGACTCACCAGCATTTATTGTTTCCTGACTTTTTAATAATTGCCATTCTAACGGGTGTGAGATGGTATCTCATTGTGGTTTTAATTTGCATATCTCTAATGACCAGTGAGGTTGAGCTTTTTTTCATATGTTTGTTGGCCACATAAATGTTTCCTTTTGAGAGTGTCTGTTCGTATCCTTTGCCTACTTTTTGATGGGTTTGTTAGTTTTTTCCCTTGTAAATTTAGCATACTTTTTCTAAGAGGGATTCTAAGGGGTCTTAAAAGGTAAGTATAAAGATTCTTCCTAAACTGGAGGCTGGGAATACAAATGTTCATTTAACATAAATAACTATTCTTTAAACCACAAATATGTATATTATTTCATATCATGAAATACTTCACTATTTAAGAACATTTAAATATTAACCAAAATTTTAGTTCCTCAGTCGTGCAATAATCAAGTTGGTAGGTTATTCTGTTGTGTTTTCCATTGAGATGATCCATATTTTCAAAGGAACAATCCTAAAACAATCTAGTGGAAGGTGCCTTGCATGGCAAGGCACCTGAATTACTAAGAACAGTGAAACTATGAGCACTTACCTTAAAGATTAAGCTACAGAGAAATGTGAGAGGAATCTTCAAATATAGGAATATCTATTTTGTGAAAGAAGAAACCAACTTAGGTTTTGGAACTACAGTACAATTAGACCAATGGATTTCTGCAATCAGGAAGCAGATTTCAGCTCAACATAATAAGAGATCTCTGTAAATGGGATGAGCGGTCAAGATTTGATGAACCTTTTCTTCACTGACAGTTTTTAAATAGAAGCTGGATGGCAATGCAGGATAAATACTGAAAGAAGATTCTGACTTTAGAATAGTCTGGATGATCTTAGTAGTTAGCCTAAGGCATTGCTTATAAATGCATGTGCTACATTGGTTGGTAAAATACCAGTTTCACTCACGATTGCACACAGTGGGCTGCAGTCAGAATCCACACTGGGTTGATGATGGCACCTCCACATTGGTAATCACCTAGAAACCTCAGACCCACATGCCATGGCCAACAGTGGGGGCAGGCTTCTTCCCCTCCTGCTATTCTTCTGGAAAGCCACTGGGAACTAAATGGAGGGATGCCACAGACATCTACAGTAAAGATGAAACCAACAACCCATAAGGTTTCAGTAATTTGGAACACATTCCTCTAATAGATTGCCATAGTTAACAGCAGTGATTCTCAAACACCAGATGGGCTTTATAGCAATACTGACTCCCAAAACTCACCACTGAAAAATCTGATTTTAAGACGCCTGCCCAGGTGACCATGCTAGGCAATCAGAATTTTAGGTACCGGCCTACAAAATTTATTTATTCATTTAGCAAATATTTATTTACTGCTTGCTATTTGCTAGGCACTGTTTTAAACATTGATGATATTTTACTGGTGGAATGGAACAAACGATAAAAATACTGGACCCTCATGGGACTTACATTCTAGTAGGAAAATTTCAAGTTTGTTAAACTAGTACATAAGGTTCTTCACTGTATCTTGTTTTAGTTCTTGTTCTCACTGTGTGAATCCATGTATCAATCCTCAAACATATCACATTTGTTTGGGCATCTAAATGCTGTTCTCTTATCAGGAATTGGTAAGACCCACAGGTCAAGTGTCAATCTCTAGGAAGCTTTCTCCAACCCCCCAGCAAGAGGCAGGTATTTTCTCCTCCAATAGCTCTTTTTGCAACTTTCTATTCCAGTCCATCAACTTGAACATATTCAACCCATGCATGTGGAACAATGATGGATCATAGTATTCACCTAGATGCCACAGAGCATAAGGAAATTAAAAGATGCCAGTGCAAATTTAAAAGAAACAAAAAAACCTTTGCTTTCTCCCTTTGTCCCACACTGACCCTAGAAGTCATTTTAGATATTAAGTTTATAAAGAAATAGATGAGGACAAAAGATTGTTTTATACCATTTTCTTCCTAACATAAAGTGTATTTGTTCTTCCCTCTACTTACAAGTCTAACTATAAACCCAAATAGGACTTCGGAAGTTTTATAAACCTAAATATAAGGCTTCTTCTTCTTCACTGTGGTGTTATAACAAATATAAGATAAGAACTTCCAAAGGAGATGTCTAGTTAATGAATAAACAAGATTAAACAGATAGTAATAATATACCATCAACTCACCATGCAGAATAGCTTTTGCAGTCGATATAGGATTGGTTTGGGGAGGTGGCATTCGTTCAGTTTTGTTTGAAGACTCTAGAAGAAAAAAAAATTAACTGAAAATAATTAGAGAAGCTACACTAACTGACCCCACTTGCTTACCCTGGTAAAACATAAAGCCATTTTACTGTAGATCTCACTAACATCACCATTCATACACTAGATATACCAGATCCCAGAAATGTGATTTTTTGCATATCTCTTAATATCCCTGTTACATGTGGCTCTTTTAAGCACTTCTTCCTTCCTTGGCTTCCTGATCTTAATCTGATGGTTTTCTTTATATATTGATGGTTGTCTGTTTTCATTATGTCTTTTTTTTTTTTTCAGGATCTCATTGTTTAGCCTGAAAAGATATTGGCAAGGTAATGTTCATTACTCTATTTTTATTCATCGACATGTAGATGACTTCCAAATTTCTCTCTTCAATCTAAATCTCTTTCCTGAATCCTAGACCTAAGACTTTTAGATATCCCCATTTGAATTTCCCACAAGCTAATATCTACATGTCTTAAATTGTACTAAGTGATTTTTAACAGTCAATATGGTCTTGTTCTTACATTTCTCTATCATCTAGTGGCTTCTACCATTTACCTCACCACTCATGCTAGGATCCTGAAAATCATACTTGTGAAGGTTAATATTGAGTGTCAATTGGATTGAGGGATACAAAGTATTAATCCTGGATGTATCTGTGTGGGTGTTGCCAAAAGAGATTAACATTTGAGTCAGTGAGCTGGGGAAGACAGATCCACCCTTAATCTGGTGGGCACAATCTAATCAGCTTTCAGCTAATATAAAGCAGGAAGAAAAGCATGAAATAGACAAGCCTAGCTTCCCAGCCTACATCTTTCTCCCATGCTGGATGCTTCCAGCACTCTAACATCGGACTCCAGGTTCTTCAGTTTCAGGGCTGGGACTGGCTCTCCTTGCTCCTCAGCTTGCAGACAGTCTATTGTGGGACTTTGTGATTGTGTAAGTTAATACTTAATAAACTCCCCTCTCTTGCATGCGCTCTCTCTCTCTCTCTCTCTCTCTCTCTATATATATATATATATATA